TATGTATGTATGTCTGTATGTCTGTATGTCTGTATGTCTGTATGTCTGTATGTCTGTATGTCTGTATGTCTGTATGTCTGTATGTATGTATGTATGTATGTATGTATGTATGTATATATACATATATTTATACATATGTATGTGTGTATTGAGACGTGTATGCCAGAAGATCTCAAAAACGGTTCGAGATAAGTAACATTTACCCCGAAGGAAGCACTGAGGCAATGACATGCAATTAGGCTGTTCAAGGAGGTTCTTTCAGACGCGGCGTCGGTGGACACTAACTAGACTTTGACATACTTTTTCGGGAAGATGCTTTGGGTTTACGATTTCGGGCTTATGTCCAAGGTCGAAAGCAGCTGGCATGCTCAGATTTCAAAACGTTGGGGGTGGGAAGGTTGGTGGCTCATGCCCTTTGGTGCTTTTTGTTAGTACCTTTATACCAACCTCGTAGTAACCTTAGCAATCCGAAGGCTTGGCTACAGTAGCTGTAGCCAGGAACATAAAGCAAGATCTGGGTGAGATATAGGGGCCTCGATCATTAGAGCTGGGTTTTGGACTGCAGGAAGCGTACCGGTAACTTTTTCCCGTTCGAGGACCTTATACTGGGCATGCATGAAGCAGTTACGAGTTTTGCAGATCCGTCCCAAGTCCCACAACCCCAAGCTCGAAGCTCTAACCCCCTCAAAAACCTAAAGTCCCTTGCCTGCCTTCAATAGACGAGAGCTTCCCACGTGAGGTGAGCAGTTTCGCCGAGCGTTTGGAGAGGCTGCGCAAAATCCAGGCAATCACCGGCTCTAATGTAGGGGCCTCTACAATTAGAATACTATTTTGGGGGTTGGTTCCTTGTTATAGTTATAGTATAATACACCTCCCAAAGCCTCTTATTGTAGTTATAGTTATAGTATAATATACCCCCGAACCCTCTTATTATAGTTATGGTTATAGTATAACATACCCCCAAACCCTAGTCTACTTATTACAGCCCCGATATCAAGTCATCGACTCCCGGCCTTACGGATCCCCAAAGAGAGCACCCAGTGCAGGATGGGGGTAGTTCTGAAAAGTAGGGTCGCCTTGTCGGGTCCTTTTGAAAAGAGTGCTGTACTATTTTGCGGACCTAACAAAGGGACCCTCATTTAGAGAACTACCCATGTAGAAGCTACCCAGCTGATGGTTTCGGTTGCTTTAATACCAACACCGGCTCCTTTCCCCCTAAACTCTAGACCCTAAACCCTCAAGTGGTGCCGCCATAAGCAGATTCGGAGGTCTGTGCATTTTGAGGGGATCCGACTGGAGTCGGGCTTGAGCAAAATTAACAACACTACTCTTTAGGGTTTAGGGTTTACATAACCCACGACCCTATCCGAATCACTAATGGTATACTGGTATTCAGATAGGGTGTTTTGTTTGGTGAAACTCCCGCGTGCTGCCAGGACGACATGCTGAAGTCGCTGAAGGCCTCTGCGCATGGACGGCATCTGAGCGAGGGACAGAGGGTTCAATACCCCTTAAGTAAGGAGTATATCGCCAAAGATGGGAATCCTCCGTTGATGTGATGCAGAGTATGTTCTCATTTACGGAGGTTCAGTCCGTCGTGCAGGCTCGAAGTTGCATCATGATTGAATCGAGCCTTTTGCCTTGGGCTTCAACGCGGACTTCTGCCGGAGCGCTGTATGCTCATTATCAAAGACCGGTGGACGAAGAAACTTCGATGATTCAGGGCTTTCGGCTGTTCAACTACCTTGTGTCTACATGTTCACCGAGAGCCCAGCCCAATATGGGGGTTTCCGAAAATCGGGGACCCTAATATAGTACCCCAAATAGTGGGATCCTTACTATAAGGACCCCAAATACAGTACCCCTTATTTTCTGAAACTCCCATATCCCTCAATCGGAACAGCGAAGAGACCTGAACCACACTAACCCAGACCCCCAAAAGGATCTAAAAAATAGATCCCCTAATTAGGGACCCTAACTACTAAAGGGTACTTTATAGGAGCCACCTTAGGGGATCCATTTTTTAGATCCTTTTGGGGGTCTGGGACTCAATGATCCTTGAATGATCTGAGGCCGAGGGCAAATTCCTGAATTAAGAACCCTAAACCCTAAACCCTAAACCCTAAACCCTAAACCTAAGGCCCAGCCCCGTCCCCCCCTTTCACCAAACTAAGGCAGGACCAGTAGACAAAACGAAAACGCAGCCGAAGCCGAGGAAGAAGCAGGTTTGTAAGTGAGAGTTTCAGAAAACTAGGATATCCTATGTGGGGGCTTAGGGTTTTGGGGTTTAGGGTTTAGGGTTGGTCCTTTAGCATCAAGATGCTAGTAACCCACTAATTATTGGGGGGTTTCTGATTAGTGTCCCACCTTTTCTGAGACCGCCAAGAGCATTCACTGGGGACTGCGCTCTGTGCGCAAGCAAGGAAACAGTATTCCGCTATGTAGCCCCCTGATTAGTAAACCCGCTTCTTTAAAGGTATTGTAATTGTGATTCTAGTATTTGAGCCTTCAAAGAAGGAATTTACTAATCATTTTACGGGTTCGAGCACTGCGAACACAGGCGTCGTAAGGGGTTCGAGCATGTGAGCTCGTCGCATCGGAAGTGATGGAAACCGCAAAAGAGTACAAGTACTGGGTCATGCGGCCGTTGTGGACCGAAGCCTCGTACATAAAAGGGCCATTGGGATCATCAGCATGATTTACATAATCCTCCTCCTGGTCATCTCCGTCATCGTCATCATCATACTGTAATCCTCATCCTCACCATGACTGTCATCATCTGGGTTCTTGTTAAGGGATTTAATTCAAGTTACCATAATAAGAAAACCATATTATTTACTATAGATCGCTATTATGGTAACTTAAATTAAATCCCTTAACAAGAAACCAGTCATCGCCTTCATCACGAGCTGTGTTTTTTTGGGAGCTTGGGGGCGAAAGACGGGATGTTTGGCTCTCTGGGCTGTTGACAGGAACCCTAAACCCTCAACCCTAAACCCAAAACCCTCAACCCTAAACCCTAAACCCTAAACCCTAAACCCTAAACCCGAAACCCGAAAGCCCTGACTTTTTCTTCGCAGGCGGAAGATGCAGCAGGGAAAGGGCCGGCACTGGCAGAGGACTGGAGTCCGGACCTCAGGGTACTGGTTTAGGGTTTAGTGTTCAGGGTTTAGGGTTTAGGGTTTAGGGTTTAGGGTTTAGGGTTTAGGGGTTTGGGTTTAGGGTTTAGGGCTTTGTTCAAGTGCCCGCAGGTGGAGAGGACACCTACGTGCGACCTTCACAGCAGGAAGCACAACCATCTGGCGCGGGAAGTCTGAGCACGAAGCAAAGACTGGAGCAGACTTGCAAAACAACATTGGAGCGACACAAGCAGTTGAGCGTGCAGCAGAAACTGAAGGACTCACGCCTAACAGCCAAAAAGCTGTCCACCGAGCAGGACGCCACCAAACCGACCAACCATTCCACACATTCCACCTCCTGTCCCAAATGCTTTTCTGCACCTGAGACTTCTTCAGGGTTATGATAAAAGTGTCATTCTTATGAGTCTTGGTATAAAGGTTTCTCATACTACAAGGGATTCGAAGGACCACCTGTCGCAAACGCATGATCTCAAACACGCCGGTCCGACGCCTTTCCGAGCATTGGTCCGAGCAGAGTTAGGGGCATAGTTTAGTGCAGTTAATATAGGGGCCCTAATAATTAGATATACAGTACTATTATAGGCATAGGGGCTCCTTATGATAGTTATAGTATACAGGGTCCCAAAACCCTATTCTAATTATTAAGGCCCCTACAGTACTTTGTGTTCCAAAGAACCGGACAGAATATTGTTTGTTTTTTTGGCATGCCCCGTAGAACGGCGATCGTGATTTATTGGCTGGGCATTGTTGGAGTGACTCGGGGCACCTGACGTACTCCAGTAGGGATCCTACTATTCAGTGTTTATAGCAGGACCCGTCAGTTGCTCCCACAGTAGAAGGACCCTACTGACCCTACTAGTTAGTGTCGATATGAGGATCCCCTTTCATCTGAAACTCCGATATTGTGTGGATCCTACAATTCCGTGTCTACGTTGGGATCCTTTTCTGTTACGTTGACGACCCAACGCATAAGCCAGAACCCAAGACTTTAAACCCTAAACCCTAAACCCTAAACCCTAAACCCTAAACCCTGAACCCTGAACCGTAAGCCCCCTTTTGCTCAGCAGCTCCTCTGGGTTTAGGGTTCAGGGTCTGATTAATTTGAGGTTTTTGATTTTGCCTTATAAGAGGTCTGCATGGACTAGACAACTACTTGAAGGTTCATGGGTAGATATAAGTGGGGTTATAAGTCGCCTAATATGGGTTATAACTTTAGTTACCCTACTTATAACCCCACTTATAACTACCCATGAACCTCCAAGTAGTTTTAGCGCCGCATTTAACTCGTTCCAACGCAGGCTTCATCTTCGAGAAGCCCTAAGCCCGAAACCGGAAAGCCTGTGCGGCAAGAGTTGCAAGGTGCCGGTCGTGCAGCCTCAGAAGATGTGACACAAAGCCACACCGAGACGGAGCAGGCTCTGGTATGAAAGACATGGGGCCCAAACCCTAAACCCTAAACCCCAAATCCTAAACCCCAAATCCTAAACCCTAAACCCTAAACCCTAAACCGTGGCAGTTTAGGGTTTAGGGTTTTGATTTTTTTGTTTTAATTTTTTGCCACTTGCTGTGAGGATCCGAGCCTTCAAGGGCCTAGATCAGGGTTTAGGGTTTAGGGTTTAGGGTTTAGGGTTTAGGGATCAGGGTTTAGCTTATTGGCTGTAAACTCAACTTTTCAACTTTTGGGATTCTTGTAAGGCAGTCGATTCTGAAAGTTTCAACTTTTATTTCCTTGAGTTTTGGGCCAGTGAGTTAGGGTTCCCAGATTTTTTTTTGAAAGAACGTCCCCAGAGACTCCCAAACCCCTTAATTAAGGAATATACCTTAAATCATCAAAACCCCTTAATCAAGGAATATACCTTAAATCATATTAGGGATCCCTAACATAATTTAAGGTATATTCCTTAATTATGGGGGTTTTGGAGTCTCTGGGTCTCAGGTGAAGCTCCTGCTCTGCCGACAGCTGCTCTTACTTTCGATAGAACCTAATATAGGCGCCTTAATAATTAGAATAGGGTTTTGTGGTTCCTTTTAAAGGGTTCTATAAGGGCTACTATAAGGGTTTAGGGTATAGGGGCCTTAATAATTAGAATAGGGCTCTGGGGCCCTTTATGCTTTAATTATAATAAGGAACCCCCAACATAGTATAGGTAATTATTGAGGCTCCTGTAGTAGATCCTGAACCCGCAGCCCTATAGCCTAAACCGTACATATCCGGCAAGCTACTGTCCCAAGGCTCACAGTGAGCAAGCCGTCTGGAACCCGCGGGTAGAACGGAGCAGCATTGCCATATGATTAATATAGGGGCCCAAATAATTACCAATACTATTTTGGTGGCTCCTTACTATAATTGTAGTATAATATACCCCAACACCCCATTCTGATTATTAAGGTCCCTATATTAAACAGTTTGAAGCAATGACATTGCACTCGATTTTGAAGAAGAGTTGTGTGCTGCAGACCGCCGAGACGCCATGAGGAATTTTGCCATTGGTTCCAAACTCCCAGAGCACGACGGTTTGGGTTTAGGGTTTAGGGTCTAGGGCACGACTAACCCGTGAACTGTAAACCCTCAACTCAACCCGGAAACGTAAACCGCAAAGCCTAAACTTTGGAACGATAGAGTTATATTATGTTACAGTATATCGCAGTAGAGTATACCCATAGCTAAACCCTAAACCCTAAACCCTAAACCCTAAACCCTAAACCCTAAACCCTAAACCCATACCATACTATGTTATGTTAGAGGAGTCTGGTCGTTGCAGGTCGTTCCTTCGAGCACCGGTTCGCCTGATCATGACCAGGATCGTGACCCCGCAACTTCTCCAGGCTGCAGCGGATCTTTCCGACGGTTTAGGGTTTAAGGTTTAGGGTTTAGGGTTTAGGGTTTAGGGTATAGGGTTTAGGGTATAGGGTTTAGGGTTTAGGGTTTAGGGTTAAGGGTATAGGGTTTAGGGTTTAGCTTTGCTAACATAGGGGCCTAAATACGTACCTATACTATGTTGGGGTTCCCTTATTCTAATTGGAGTAGAATGAATCCCAAAACCCTATTCTAATTATTCAGGCCCCTACATTACATGCGGGCTCTTAAGATTATATTGGGGTGCCGTATCTAGGGGTCGTAAGGAATCGGCTATTTAGCCCTTGTATGATATGGTGTTATGTTCTACGTTATGACACGGCCAGGCTTCGTGCTGCCCTGCTCCTCTACGCCATATTTCATCCGGTCTCAGATTCTGCCGACGTTTTCTTCTCCGATACCAGAAGTAGGAGACAAGGCTTATACTCGGCATAAGAACTTGAGGGTTTAGGGTTTAGGGGTTTAGGGTTTAGGGCTTAATTCATAAAGACTGCTGAGCCTTTATGCTTTGCTCGACATGCCAGCGAAGCTACGTGTCTATTGTCCCCTGCTTGCTGCAGATGCCTACACAGGTGGCAAGGACCTGAAGCAACAGCCACGCCCTGGCAACACAAGTCTGCTAGTCTGATTCTCATTCTCACTTTTCTTGCAATTAGTGGTGCCTTTTGCTTGTCCAAGGTGTGTCATCTTATTATCCCTTGCTGCGGTCTGTTTTATCGTCCTTCAATTTTCTAAGCCTACGTTCTCAATAAAGAAGCCCTAAGCCTTAAACCCACACAGCGAGCCCCCCGGTTTGCAGTCGAAGCTCCTGCTCTGCAAACAGAGCTGCAAGCCTTGGCAGCGCAGCAGGACGGACATCTTCCAGCTTAGGGTTGAGGGCTTAAGTTCGTTGAGGGCTTAGATTAGGGTTTAGGGGTTTGGGTTT